TGTGTGTGTGTGTGTGTGGCCAGCTCAGTCCACCAGGGGGCGGGCTGGCTGGCATGTGGTGCTGGGGGATTGAACCGTGGTCCCTGGGCTTTGCTAAGCTTGTTCTAAGTAGGTGCTTTAGACCACTGAGCCATCTCACCAGCCCCTCTTCTATATGTTTCTGCATTTGATTCTTTACTTCAGATGGTACTGAGAGATTTCTTTTTTTTATTGCAATCTGAATTCCTCTATACCTTTCTGCAGTTGATTGTTTATTTTAGAAGGTCTTCATTCATTCATTTCAGCTGTGTGATTCCCAATTTGTTCTTTTCTAGTGTCCTCTGCACTTGTTATGGGTAGGCTTCGGGTCTGAGATTGTATTTTGCTCCTTCTCATTGTCATTTTGTATAGCACTGTGTTCTGACCTTGTCGTCGAGTTTTGGTGCAGTTATAACCTTAGTACCTACTGAAATTCAGGTGCAGATCTATAAAGTTTGAATTTATCCAGTTGTGTGTGGCTTGGGTCTGGCTGCTGTGCTCAGCTCCTTCCTGCTGTAGCCCTTGTGAGTGAACCTGTTGTGCCCCTCTTGCAAGACGTCCTGCTCCTGGACTAGCTGGATGGTTCTGTCCCCTACTGCCTCTGCAGGTACTACAGCCACAGAGTTTCACCCCAGGCCTGTATGCCTGGCCTGAGCTGAGTCTGAAGGGTACAAAGGAAGTAGGGGACAGGAGAAGCTCTCCTATACACTCACTGGGCCTGGGCTAGGGCTGGATGTGGGAGTCTCGAGAAGTTCTCACTCACTCTGCGGGCATGCGGGGTAGGGGGGCTGCGGATTGGTGGGTCCCAAGGGCACGGAAGAGGGTCTCACTTACACTGCCTGCCTGGGTTTGGACCAGAGAGGTCTCAGGGGCACAGGGTAGACAAAGCTCTCCCACACACTCACCAGGCCTGTGCTAGATCTCCACACCAAAACATAAATTATTTAAAATTATTGATGTTCTTGGTATAATAATTTAATAAAACAGCACAAACAAAACCACTACCTCCAAGTGTCTGCCACCCTAAAATATTTACCAATTTATTGATAAATATATGTCAAAGCCAAAAGAAGTACATATACTTAAAATCTATGACAGGTCCTTCGCACACAGAAATGTTCCCTGTGTGTGACACTCACTTCCTCACCTACATTACGACACTGATTTCTGCCAAAGAGAATTCCATGCTCCCAGCTTTAGGTTCCCTTATAAAGACCAAAATGGTGAGAACTCAGCTGAAACCAAGAGATAGCCTAAACTGCAGGTTTTACTCTCTTGACAAATGCCATTCTTCTTAAAGAATTAGTTACGGTCCTTATATTTGTATCATTACATATAGAATAAGATAGTAACTTAGAACTTTAATAATTTACTAAACAATGAATAGGTACCATACCTTGAAACTGTCAAAGTTTACATGTTATGCCTGTACCTGATTTTCTCTTGCCATTGTAGCTAGATCATCTTGTAGTCTTCTGTTTTCCTTGAAAGATACTTCTCTAGACTTTCCTACTTCATCAAGTTCTTTGAGAGTTCCATCAAGCTGACGCCGGAGGCTGCTTATTTCCCGGTCTCGATTACTCAATGTTTCCTTTAGTTGGCTGTTAAAAAGGTGATATGGAAATAATAAGCTCTTGAAAAAGAAGCTCATTTAAATGTAAAATGTTATGGCCTGAAAAGTATACAAAGAATAAATTCTGCAATTATAACTGCTACATTTAGATCAATTAGTTTATTTAGATTTCTAACAAACACTACATGCAAATGAAGCCATAGAACAGGCATTCCCAAAGCCACATAAACAAACAAAATTTCCAAGTGTTAAGAGCTAAATGTAATAGATTTAACTGGCAAATACTAAATATATGTATATACTCCCACTCTGATATGAAACACAAAAGCAAGTAACGTAAGTGTTAATTAGTGACTTTGTCTTTTAGTAGCTTACATTTTTTTTTTGAAAGACTAGATATAAAATATAAAATTATAGCTAGGAGCAGAGACCCATTCCTGCAATCCCAGGATGGCAGAAACAGGTTCTAGGTCCCACCTGAGTTCTTGACCTTATTAAAATAAAAAATAAAAAGGGTAGGGACACAGATCAGTAATACAGTGTCCTTGGCTTCAAGTCTCACTAGTAAAAAAATAAAACTGGAAACAGCATTCACAATAAGTTTAGAATGGACAATAAATCCAAAATTGTCTATTAAAGTAAATTTTAATGACTAGGATCTGAGTTGGGTAATTATAGTAAAACGCAAATAGAAATGTACCTGAGGAATCAGTAAAACCTAAGTGTATGGATGTGGATTGCAAAGGAATTAAAATGCAAGAGACTGAGGAAATGGTGGAGTCACTAGGAAAAATGGGGAAATTGAGAAAAAAATTTCCTACCATTGAACTGCTACTAAGAAGATGAAACTAAAGTCACTGAAAATGTCTTAAAAAGCTGGGTGCCATTTCATTAATTACTTACGTCAGAGATAATTCATACTCAGAGACAGTTATCTTCATCTGAGCAACAGCTTTTTCCTGTAGAAATTATAATAATATGTAAGATCCTGAACCTTTCATATAGAAATATAGTTAGCTAAATTTGTATAATCTATCACATTTGTACCATTAGTATATAGTTTAATCCTATAAATTACACATAAAAGAAAGCTCCGTATTTCCATCTCCCATTTATACCCCACACATGGCATGTTTCCAGTCAGCCTAAGAACCTGAATGGTTTCTTCAGTTTGCTTTAACAAGAGCTGATAAAAAAAAAAAAAAAAATAGGAATAACTAAAATCCCATGTTAAAGATTCAAATTATTGGTCAAGGAGATAGCTCAGTGGCATAAGCCCCTGCCTGGCAAGCACAATGTCCTGTGTTCAATCCCTGGTACAAAAAAAAAAGATTCAAATTGCTGAAATAAAAAGAAGCTTACATATTAAGAGACACGGTCCTGGGTCTCAGGAACTTATTACATGGTAATAAGAGCTACATATTGAAACAGAATAAAAAAATCTTTTGACACTGAAAACAATACTTAGCAATCACGCACTTTACTGGCCAGGACTTCTTGCAAGCTTGCAATCTTCTCTGTTTTATCATCTACAGCCTCCTGGAGGAAATCTTTCTCTTTATCAATAACACCAATAGTCTTTTTCATCACATGAGCCTCTTCATTCTGTGATGTCATCTTAAGGTTTAGCTCATCTGTAAATGAAAAGAAACATTTGTTGGGCACAGTAAACTCTTATTAGAAAAAAAAAACAACCTGAAAAAGATTTACCTATTTTTTCCTCTAGCATTTTAATTTTTTCCTGGGCGGATTCAAGTTCACCCCTTTTTGTGGTCAGTCGGTGCTGACAGTCATCAAGCGACCTCTGGAGCTGCTCATTCACCATCCTAAGCAGAGGACAAGACCAAACGGCATTCGTTATCCCTCAGGGAAACAATCTTTAAAAATACGATGTCTTAAAAATACTTTGATTTTTTAAAGTTTTTTATTTTAAAGCACTTCCTGTATAATCAATGGCATTACATTATGTATTATTTCTTGCTCACCACCATGATCCATCTTCTTAAAAATAATATGGTACAAAATTTAAATTAACATGTATTCTTTTCTGAAAGTTTCTCGATAGTTTTTAAGCTTGTCTCAGTTTCCTTCAAAATCTATTCCTAAATGTAGAGGAAGGGAAAGTCCTATTGTTATAGCCTAGCTCTTTGAAGGACTAACATAAAGCCTAACCCCAGTGTGAAGTCCTACTTTTGTTACTTACTCTGACTTTTTAAATGGTTGGTCAACTAGAGTTCACAGCAGAGAAGGCAAGCACTTCTTAAGTACAATGGTGACTTAAAACTAAGATTGGCTTTAGGGAGCTAATGAAGGGGAAGCCTGGGCTGTCAACAGTAAAGAGTTCCAGGGGACTCTGTCACTCATCAGTCAGCTTACTTTGGGAAACACTGTCTCTGAAAGGTGAACAACGAGCACCTGCATGCCTGTTGTCATCCAGAGTCTTCAGAATGCTTTTACTTCTGACCTCAGGTCTCACTAGGCCTGACTAAAAATATTAGGCTCTTACTTCAGACAGGTGATCAGGTTTCTTTTAGGTTTCCTTTGCGAATAAGTATCTCAGTTACTTTTGCCTCACTGCTGGGACAAAACACCCAACACTCAAAATTAAGGAAGGAAAGGTTTATTTAGTTCACAGTGTAGGTTTTAGTCCATACTCAGCTGGCTCCAAGACAGAGTGGCACATGGCAGAGGGCAGCAGTTCATGGTGATGCAAAACAGCAAAAACAAATGGGAGGAGTAGCAGCAACAATGACAACAGAGAGCAAGTCTCTCCCTTATGTTGCACTCAGGCTATCGCCCCAGGCTGGGTGTAGCACTCACACCCATGATCCCAGTGGATCATGAATTAATCACAAACTCTACAAGTCTGCCCCATGACTTCCATGAGACTTTGTGGGGGACAACTAGACACAAACCAGAACAGTAAGACAGGAAAGAAGACACCAAGGGTAGCTTAGCTTAGCACTGCCTAAAGGGGAGGAGACTTAGCTCCCAAAACCACTAGTAAAATGGGACGTTTCTATTGAAATAAAGAAGCTTCACAGGCAAAACTGAATTATTTCTAATTGTTCTAATACAAAGTGAATAATGACCCAGAGGTTGCAATCATAATCAAATTCAGACTGGCTTCCTTAGAATTATACAACCAAACCCAAATGCATCTGAAACACTGGGTTCAAACAACATTATTTCACAAAATTATCTGTGTGGTCCAGATGACTATATTCAAGCTATTCAAGAGCTGTTGTCTTGTTGGATGTAACAACAGTGTTACTATAAATGTATTAGCTCATTTATTATTAAAACAGTTCCATAATGAGAACTATTAACCCAATTTTACACAGAAAATTAGTAACTTGTCCAGTCACAAATCTAGTAAAGGCAAAGAAAAAATGAAAATCTAGGAGAGTCTAGTTTGTTATCAGTGTTGTGCTACTGTATCACATCGTCCTCTCACACTACACAGGGAAATCAGTATTCTCCATGTGGAAAATGTCTGTCAGGAAGTTACAGATTCCTTCCAAAAATGAAAGTGTCCACTGAGTACTTCATGGATACTGAGTAGCTTACAGGGCTTGAAATTCTAGGCAGAAATTTACTCATCTCTTAATTCTTAACTTCCTACACACAGTAATATTCAAATGAATGCTGAGTTCATAAAGGAGGGCAGATTAAAATCTTTATTACACATATAAAGGAAGTCCCCAGATGAGTCCTAAACATAGCTTTGATTTTTTTATATTCAAGTAAAGAGAAGAAAAGGAACACTAGAGCTTGTGCATCAGACCCTGAAAGTAACTTTTCTGTCTGATGTATTTGTGATGGTTAATCTTTTTTGAGACGAGGGTTCTATGAAACCCAGGTTGGCTTTGATCTGACAATCTTCCTGCCTTGACCTCCTGAGTGCTGGGATTATGATGTAATCCACCACGTTCCACTTTTCATGGGTAAAATGGATTATTACTGTGGTTGGTTTTAGAAACCTTACAAGATACATTTCTGGGTGCATTTTGTAGGGTTCTGGGGTTGTAACCTTGGGGACCCTATCTGGTCCATGGTCCTTTCATCTCAGCCTCTTCCATGCTCTCTGCTTCCTGGTCACCTGTTTCTACCTTGGAGCCAGTGAACCACAGAGTGGATCTCTAAAACTGTGAGCCAAGACAAACCTTTTCTCCTTTGTGCACATGAGGTATCTGTGCCACTAACAGCTAACACAGTATTGTCACTAAGATAATGGTTATCTTTTCTCTTTCATTTTAGTACTGGGGATGGGAGCCAGTGGCTCTTTCCCACTGAGTTACATCTCCAGCCATTTTACTTTTTATTTACTACTACTACTACTATTACTACTACTACTACTACTATCACTGAACTCAGGGTCTTCATACCAAGCTATATTCCCAGCCCATTTTTTATTTTTATGTTTTTAACATTTGAGAAAGGATCCCATCAATTGCCTAGGTTGCCCAAGCTGGCCTCAAACCTGTGATCCTCCTAACTTAGCCTCTCAGAGTGCTAGGATCAACAAATACATGCTATATGCCTACCTTTATTTTTTATTTAGAGGTAAGGTTTTGTTAAGTAGCCTTGGTGAGACTCAAATTTGCAATCCTCATGCCTCAACATTGCTCAGTGCTGGGCAAATAGGTGTGGCCCCAGCTTCCAGGTCAGAAAGGTCTTCTGAACAAAGAACTGGGGTAGAAATCTTACAGCGAATAGTTGGGTTATTATTATATTATTATTTGTTCATAACTGTGTGTGGAAATGAAACTTTGAGAAGTTGGTAGAGAAACATGGAGTAAGTTTTTTAGCTTCAAAGGTACTATAAAACATAGCAAAGAAGTAATGACTTCCTATGAGAGAAGCAATAATAGTGATCTTGGGTCAAGCTTTAGCACTCCACCTAATAGATATGATTGGTTATGTGCATCACTTGAGACTCAAAATCCTCAGGTGTATTTCATTACATGGTATTATACATGCTCTAATTTTATGGGATATAAGTATTTACTTTCATGACAGAATGTATTTTAACCCAAAACAGCATTTTAAATGGTCCTTTGTTCATAAAAATCATTGAAGTTCTAAAATGGAGCCGATGCTCTATCTAATAGAGGCAGGCTTGGAATTGTGATGGGCTAATAGAAGAAAATATTAATGTGGTATCTGTTCTGTTTTACATTTCTCCCAAGAGTCTATGGGTATGGCTCCCCTACTCATTGAGCCACACTATTAATAAATAGAATCTCCTGGTATACCAAAGATAAAGGAATTATTATTGGTTTTTCTTTTAGGTTTCTGCACAGGGACGATACCCTAGTCTACTTGGTCCTTTAAATTCCAGCTCTGCAAGCTCAGTTATCCTCAGTCAGTGCCGTGGCCTTTCCTTCTGATTTGGTAGGGAAAAACAAAACAAAAAACCAAACTTAAGGAGTGCCCAAGACACAGCTTTTAGGCATCCTAGGTAAAATATGAGCCTTATTTCCCCATCTAAAATAACTTTAACCCCCTGAACAAATAAAAACTTCTGCAAGGACACCAGTTAGTTTTGAATATATATAAATAAATCCTAGTAAAACAACTGATATCTTGAAATAAGAACTCTAAGCGAGAACTTCTGCCGTGCTCTCTGAACCCCTCCAGACCCGCCAAAGCCCAGGCCCTGCGAGTGTGTGGGAGAGCTTCTGCACTCCCCTGCAGCCACTGGACCTCTCCAGACCAAGCCCAGGCCTGCCGTGTGAGTGAGACCTTTTGCCCTATTCTCAGGACCCCTCTATCCCTCCAGAGCCAGGCAAGCCTGCCCTGTGAATGAGAACTTCTGCTGTGCTCTCAGGAACCCTCCAGACACAGGCCTGGGCTGAAACTCTGCAGCTGAAGTCCCTGAAGAGAAATTATGGGCAAAAGCTACAGAGCTAATCCAGGAGCAGAACAACTTGCCAGAGAGGCAAAAGAGGTTCACCTCCAACAGCTGCAGCAGGAAGGAACACAGCACAGTAGCCAGACCCAAGCCAGGCACAAATGGATAGACTCAAACTTAGAGTCTATCTGTAGATAGACTGTAGATCTGTACCCGAATTTTAGCAAGTGTTAAGGTTATAACTGCACCAAAGTTGTACACCAAAGCACTGTCAGAGGACAGTGCTAATCAAAATGACAAAGACAAGGAGCAAAATGCAATCTCAGGTCCTAAGCCCACCCAGAACAAATGCAGAGGACACTAGCACAGCTGAAATGTCTCACTTCATAGTGTCTGAAGTAAAGAAACAACAGCAGAAACATATAGAGGGACTCAGATCAGAATTAATCTTTGAAATAAAAAAAGAAATCTCTGAATTAATAGAGTCTGAAGTAAAAATTCAAATGTAGAAACATATAGAGGAAATCAGATCAGAAATAATCCCTGAAGTAAAAGAATTAATAACTGCTTCTCAAGAAAACACTGATAAAAAATAGAGGAGAAAAGAAAACGAGAGGAGATTAGAAAAGTGATGGATTCCTTGAATGAGCAATACAGGAAAGAAATAGATCGCATGAAGCAGAGTCGAAGAGATATAGACGAACTTAAAATTTCAATCACAAGTTTGCAAAAGCGCTTGAGTGAAAGTGAAGGTAAAGTTTCAGATCTTGAAGACACTGTTGGGCCTAGTGAAAAGGAAAGAAAAGATCTCTTAAAAAGAACTAGGATGCAGGAAAAAAATAATTCATCTCCTGCGAGACAATGCAAAGATGACCAATGTGAGACTAATAGGCATCAATGAGAAGGAGTCAATACAAATGATATAAAAAGAATATGGACAGAAGTGATAGCAGAAAACTTTCCAACTAT